ATTTTTAGTATCTTTCCCAGAAATTGGACATAAAAATAAATATGAGGAGAAGATGGTTTCAGGCTCTAAGAAGGAACTTTCCTAAACTGATTTTTTTTGTCTTGTTTAATAACAGAAATGAAACTGAGGCCGTCTACTCTGTAGACTTTAGGTCATGCCCAGGACTCAGCCAATAGAATGATCTGATATGTTGTAGCCATTACCTTAGGAATGACTTTACAGCACAATGATAGAGACTTCTGGCTTTGGGAACAGCAGATCAGAAGTTTAACTCTAGTTCTAACTAGCTTACTAGCTATGTGACCTGGGCAAGTTACTGTAACTGTGTGTGCCTCAGTGTCCTCATCTGTAAAATGGGGATGGTGAACATGGTACATATCTGAGGGAGCAGTTGTGAGAGGCTATAACAAGTTGTGAGCTCTGGTCTGAGAGGACCTGCTGCAGCTAGGGATCCATACATCTTGTGAGGATAGATCATGAGAGCCTCTTTTGCTAGGGAGAAGGCCTTGAATGGGCGAAGGCTTGGCTGGTCTTGGGCTATCTAAAAGGATATGGGTGTCTCTGACATGTAGGGGAAGGAGAAATTCCTTGGGGGCACACAAATTGTGTAAGGAGGGCCTAGTGTCCTTCTTGTACAAGGAATCTACCTCAGCATTCAGTGTTGTTAGCTGCCGTCAAGTCTGCCCCCAACTCATGGCTACCCCATGCACAACAGAATGAAATGCTTCCCATAGGGTTTTCATTGGCTGATTTTCAGAAGTAGATCACCAGGGCTTTCTTCCTAGTCTGTCTTAGTCTGGAAGCTCCGCTGAAACTTGTTCAGTATCAGAGCAACACACAAGCCACCACTGACAGATAGGTGGTGACTATGCATGAGGTACATTGACCAGGAATCAAACCCAGGTCTCCCACATGGAAGGCGAGAATTCTACCACTGAACCACTAATGCCTTCAATAAGTGTTCCCTTATCATCCTATCATCATCATCATCATCATCATCATCATTGTTAAACTCTCAGGCATTTCTGAATCCATTCTTGTACCTGTCAGTGTCTAAACTCAGGATAGCTCCTGGAGCCAGATTGTCACATCCTCAGATTAGCACTAAATAAGCACTGTCTACATAGCATTGGCAGCATTTAATTTTTCTCGTCCTTCCTCCTATAGCAGAGTAATACATTCAAGCAGAGTAATAATAGCTACTGTTTCTGGAGAACCAAAGATGGACCAGCCCTGTGCTAATCACTGATATACATGACACACCTGGAAAAAGCAGGTCTTATTATCCTGAATTTACAGACCTCAGTTTCCTCATAAGGAGCTCTGACGGCACATTGGTTAAAGCACTCAACTGCTAACCAAAAGGTCAGCAGCTCGAACCCACCAGCCACTCTGCAGAAAGAAGATGTGGCAGTCTGCTTCCATAAAGATTACGGCCTTGGAAACCCTGTGGGACAGTTCTACTCTGTCCTACAGGGGCACTATGAGTTGGAATCAACTCGATGGCAATGGACAATGGGTAGTTTCCTCATATGTCATGTATGGACAGTAATAACACCTATATCATAGGGTGCTATGAAAACGAGAGCTCACACGTGTAAGAAGCATAGGCTTTGGAGTCAGTCACTCCAGAGTCTGACACTAGCTGCATGATGCTAGGCAACTTTCTTAATGGTCCAGCCTGTTTCCTCACTTGAAATATGTGATAATAGTAATACCTATCTTATGGGGTTCATCTGAGAATTAAGGGAGTTAATGCAGTTAAAAGGCTTGGCACAGGACCCCTGGCATGCAATAACCTCTGAATACATCACAGTGGTAATGATTTTTTATTTTTATTATGGGAGGATCAGAAAGAGGAAGAAGATTCAGCAAAGGAGTCTGAGAAACGGGCAACAAAAAAGTCAGAGAGTGGGGATCCATGAGAGAGGGGCATCATGGAAACCAAAGGGCACTCAGAGGCTAGTTTCTTCTGACTGGAGGAACCCTGGAGAGCATGGCCCCTGGATTCTCTATCAGTCCAGAACTAAAACAAATTCCGAGGCCAACTCTTCAGACAGGGATTGGACTGGACAGTGGGACATAAAGTGATAACTTGTGAGGAGTGTGCCTCTTAGCTCAAGTAGATATAAGAGACTAAATGGGTAGCTTCTGTCCAGAGATGAGATGGGACGGCAGAGAGGGTTAGGAGCTGGTTGAATGGACGTGGGGAATCAGGGGTGGAAAGGAGGAGTGTGCTGTCACAGTATGGGGAGAGCAATTAGGATAACATGACAATGTATGTATAAATTTTTGTATGGGAGACTAAATTGAAATGTAAACTTCATTTAAACTACAGCAATAAAAAAAAGAGATGTCAGGCTTACATCATGTTGGTGAAATAAAAAGTTTAGACAATTTCTAGTTTACAACAGAGAAGAGGATGGGGGGAGGGAAGAAGGTTTTCAAAGCAGTGGTCAAGATCGATGTTGTCAAGGACTTCATTTTACTTGGATCCACAGTGAATGCCCATGGAAGCAGCAGTCAAGAAATCAAACGATGTATTGCGTTGGGCAGATCTGCTGCAAAAGACCTCTTTAAAGTGTTGAAAAGCAAACATGTCACTTTGAGGACTAAGGTGTGCCTGATGCAAGCCATGGTATTTTCATTCGCCTCATATGCATGTGAAAGCTGGACAATAAATAAGGACGCCTTTGAATTATGGTGTTGGCAAAGAATATTAAACATATTCAATATACTTTCAGAAGAACGAACAAGTCTCTCTTGGAAGAAATACAGCCAGAATGCTCCTTAGAAGTGAGGATGGTGAGACTTCATCTCACATACTTTGGACATGTTATCAGGAGGGACCAGTCCCTGGAGAAGGACATTATGATTGGTAAAGTAGAGGGTCAGTGAAAGAAAGGAAGATCCTCAACAAGATAGATTGACACAGTGGCTACAGTGGGCTCAAACGTAGCAGTGATTTCAGTGGCTCCGTGGGAAAAAAGACCTGGTGAGCTGCTCCTAAAAAATTACAGCCTAGGAAACCAAACCCTACGGGGCAGTTCTACTCTGTCATCTGGGGTCGCTATGACTTGGAATCCACTCGATGGCACACAACAACAATGAGGAATAAAAAGTCCCTGGGTGAGGTGCAAATGGTTAAGTGCTCAACTACTAACCTAAAGGTTGGTGGTTCGAACCCACCCAGAGGTGCCTCAGAAGAAAGGCCTGGTGATCTGCTTCTGAAAAGTCACAGCATTGAAAACTCTGTGGGGTCACCATGAGTCAGAATCGACTTGACAACAACCATTTTGGTTTTGGGGGGTTTAGAGAGGAATAAAATGTTATAAACCTACAAGAGCTGGTGAATGTTGGGGGCCTCTTATGGCTTTGGAGGCCTGAGTGGAGCTGCCTCCTGCCTGGGGGTGGGGAGGGGTCCCCAGTGGTTTTGGAAAGATGAAGGTTGCTGTCAGGGGTTCAGAGGTGTCCCAGAGGAGTGCAGGCAGTGGGCCTCTTGAGCCTTTGCTCCTAGCCCAGTTCTCAGCTAAAGGGTCAGAGGTATAGGGGCCCTCCCAGTCTCCTGCTGGCCATGAAGGTTAAGGAGGCTGAAACTGAAGGCGAATATTGAATGCTAGGGGAGAAGGAGAGGAAGTGGAGGTGAGTGTGGCTCTGACGGAAGGGAGTGCTTCCAAGATCAAATTGTGGGGTCATGGATGAAGCAGGAGCAAGAAGCCAGGGAGGAGCTGATGGGGGTGATTCTGGAAGGAGAAGCACTTCAAGCCTGGTTCTGGGCATGGCAGCCCAGGGAAGGCCGCAGCGGGCTCCTTGTAGTGCCTGGCTTCTCCTCCTCCCTCACGGTCTCAGCCTGCACCCCTTTGACCCCTCTAAGCAGGCCATCAACTGCTAACATAATTACAATACCAGCACCCCTCCCTGGAGTCCTTAGCCTGTGCCATCCTTGGGACTTCACAGCCCAGAGCTCCGTGTGAAACCTCCGGGTCTGCAATTCCTACCAGGCTTCTTGTCCCTGTCAGTCTAGATGAGTCCCCCGGTCATCATACCATCTCACCCTCCCCTACACACATGCTTCCTCTCCCCTGACACACCGTCTCCCACTGCTGCACACACCATCTGCTCTCAGCCCAGTGGAGCCCCTGCTTCCTGCATGACAAACTCTCTCAAGTCCTTAGGTCTGCATAGGGCATTCATTTCACACACACACACCCGCCTTAAATGAAGTCACACATACCCCCTAGCCTTGCCCACTCACAAGAATAGGGGCTTAAGCACCTACAAGAAACATGGGGTCCCTCGGAAACTGAGGTCACACATGTCCTCTTTTATAACCCTAAAATCTGAGGTCAGGAGATAGAGCAGGAGAAGGTACCCAGGAAGAGCCTTTTCTGCTGTCTCCCCTACCGATGCCCTCAGTTCTCCTAAAAGGATGTGTGGGACTTCCTGACTTTTTGATTCTCTCATGTTCCTTCATGTTCCTCAGCTACTAGACTGCTTTTCATCCCTCCCAGCTATTCTCAATTGTTGGGGTGGAGAGGTGGGGAGCGGGGTTTAGCTTAGAGTCTTCCTGCTGCCTGTCTCTCTGGTATGTAGCTACAGGGTTTTCAGGGTGAGCCTTGGGTGCTATCAGGACCTAAGCCTCCTGGTGCTGAGCTGCCATGAATAGCTGCTCTTTCCTTTCCTTAACTGGGGGGTTGAGGTGGGGTGGGGTGGGGTGGGCAGAGGGTAGTGTCAGCTGACAGGAGAGATTCCTTGTGATCAGGATACTGTCCAGAAGCAGCAGCAGCAATAGCAATCCAAAGAATCCACCCAGAGAAAGGAGAGCCCCCTCTCCACCAAGTGAACAGAAATCTAGCCCCTGGAACCCCCATGTAGAGCTATTACCTCGGCACCAGACTCCACCATCAGACTTCTCTGGATATACTAGAGAAGAAAATATTAGAGCATCGTCAACTGATGGGTGCTGTAGTTTGGCTCTCTGACCTAGGGTCAGGTCAGTTGTGGTAACGAGCTCTTCCCCCTTTACCTTTGGGAGATATTATAGGCTGTTTCGTCTTCCCTTTTCCTTGTTTGTAGAATGAGGTTGATAAAAAACCTCACCTCATGGTATGATCCCTCTTTGCAGCTTTTTATTACATTTTTCTGATTTTTTTTACTTCTTCCTAAAGTAATACCACAGAGACATTAAAATAGATGCTGATGTATATTTATTAACAAAGAAAGAAGCCTACAACATATATTGTTTGGTGAAAAAATACACAGTATAGAACAGCACTTATATTTGATCACTTTTATCTATACATAAATCTATCTAAGTGCGCAGGTATAGGGAAGTATCTAGAAGGGCATTCAATAAAGGGTTGACAATGGTTATATAAGGGTGGAGGGTTTCAGATATTTGTACTTTCGTTTTTTGTACTTCTCCTTGTACCACTTTCACAAAGAGAGTAAAGCCATCAAAGAGATAGACACACACAGAAAACATACCCTTAGGCAGGGAGGGAGCAGGGACAGAGAGGTCAGGCCATCCCCCTCCCCTGTACTGGTATCCAAGACTTTTTCTCCTCCACCCCAAAAGAAAGTTGCTCTGAGGATTAATGCATGCAATGAGAATCCCTCCCTGGTCTTCCCACCACCCGGCTCTGAATATAGGTAAGGGTTCATTTAGGGCTGGGGGCTAGCACCTCTCTGTGGCTCAGAGGGGTCATTGTGTTCGCCAGAGACCTCTTTTGGCTCCTCCTCCTTGGTGTGTGTCAGTTCCTGCAGGGTGATAATGAGATTATCAAAAACCTGGGCCTTGTTGCTCTCATTACAAGTTTCTTTCGAGTGGTCCTCTTCACCGCGATGTGAACAGTGGATTGTGTATTTTCGCTTCCTGGCCTTACGCTTATCCCCAGGACCATCATTCTTATGCCCAGAACCACCACTGGTGGAAGGAGATTGGGCCCCGGAGTCGCTGGGGGAATCATTGACCAGCACCTGATCCTGAGGTCTGGCCTTGCGTGTGGGAGGAGGAGCAGCCCTGGATAAAAGTGGAGGATCCTGAGGCTCCACCAGGATCACATCCTCATCTGAGTCATCAGGGGTATCATCTATCTCTATCAAGCTGCAGTTAGCACTGCCAGTTGCTGTTGGCTGAGGGCCCTGAAATGCCACAGGGTTAGCTGCCCTCTCCATGACTGACTCAGATCTTTTGGGCCGCTTTCGTTTAATAAAAGTGCCATCCCAATCCTCTTCCGCCCTTATCATCCTGATTAGCTCCAGGAAATCAGGAAGACGCCCCTGCTCATTTGCATACATCCTGAGAAGATCCTTAAGCCTGAAGCGCAGGTCCCTGTTCAGCTTAGCCCCTAGAAGGAGTTGGTGCAGGCGAGTCTGGTTTGCATCTTTCTGAGCTATGACCCCTGTCTGAATAGCATTCTGGAGCTGCACCTCTAAACGGATCACATAAAGGGACGCTTTCTCCCCTTGTGCCTGCAGGGTGTTAAAAAATTTACCATGGGCAGTCACGCTGCTTTCAGACTCCCCAAACACCAGTTTCATGGCCCGCAAGAAATCTGCCACACTTAGGTTGGGGTTGGCTGCCTGGAGCAAGCGCATGACCTCCCTGGCAGGGCCCCTAAGGGTCTTCCTCAAGCGCCTGAGCTTTTCCTCCTCAGAGGTATTCCAATCTGGCAAGACCCCATTGACTTGAATCAGCCAGTTTTCAAAGGTTTCTTCCCCCTGGGCTGGCACCACCCTTCCGGAGAACAACTTTATGTTTCTCTCTGCCAAGCTGGCCATTAAAGGACCAAGGCTCCTCCCCAGGGACCTCAGCATGGAATAGGCCCAAGGTGGCAAGGGTGCGTTCTGCCCCCGGCTGTTAACCAGACGTGCAATGATGCTAGCCATAATCGATAATGACTGGCTAGCTGAATATAACAAAATGCACGGGCTTCTCTGAAAAGCCTAATCTGCAGGAGGAACCTCCAAAGCAACGTTCCAGGGCTCTGCCTTCCTTGTATCTCAGTAGGGACTAGAAAGAAAAGAAAAAAAAGGGAGGGGGTCAATAAAGTAGCAGGCTTCAGGGTAGCAATCTGCAGCCCAATTCTCTCCCTTCCTGAATAGCCTGCACGGCATTTTATACCTGCCCAGTGCACTAAGAATGCCCTGCAGGAGAAGGACAATTACAGCCTTATAGCGATAGCCAGTGTCCCTTTGCCAGTAGGGTGCTTTTCAGAGCAGCATTCATCTCCTCCCGCCAGTCCTCCAAGAGGGAGGGCAACTGTTGCTTCGAATTCTAGGTGTAATGGTGTGTGGAGCTAGCTGATACTGGGCTCTCTAAGCAGAGTGTCATCGTCTAAGTCCGACAGATTTGTGGGAATAAATAAAATCTCCTTAATCTCGTGGTCTAACGTCTCCGCCACACCCCCTTCTCAAAGTTTTCCTCGTTATTTCTGATTCTTACATGATGTCAGGAGCAAGTGTACGCCTTTGTTTCCGCTCCAGCCTCTGCAATCAGTGCTGAGAAATCGCGCCTCTGGGGTCCGTCGGGTCGGCCTCAGCCCACTGAGGGTCGCCGATCAGGGTCCTCAGGGTGTCAAGACTGCGCCGCGGCGGCGAACAGAGCGGGGAAGGGAAAGGTCAAAAGCAGCCTCATCCCTCAGCCCACCCGCGTCGCCTCCGCAGCCACCAGGTGGAAAATTTCCTCTCCCACCTGCTGAAGCGACCCCCCCGCCCCATTAGACTCCCCGCGGGAAACCATGGGCCTACCAGCTCTGCAATCAGCCACACAGACTTCAAGTTCGGCTTAGATGACCTGCCACGAAGAAAAGGAAAATTAGTTGGACACTCACATCCCCATATTCTCTCCAGGAAGACACGAGGAGAGGCGAAGGGGGCTCAAGGCAGCAGCTTGCGATTTCAATCCTCCATCCCTCCCCCCCCCCCCCGCGAAATGCTCCCCCACCCTCAATCCAGGCAAATCCTACCCATTCGGCAGCATCCAGTTGAACCCCACCTCCTCCCTCGGTGCAGCCCGGCCACGGGAGTGCTCCTTCCCCAAGCGGGAGCCGCCCAGTACTCTCCGCGCCGGGCAATCGCGCCCCTTTCTCTACCTGTACCTGGTGATGGACAACGGATGCCCAGGCGTCGCTAGCTGTGGAGTCCGCGTCCTGGCCTCGGGCGCCTCCTCGGCCGCTCGGAGTAACCCGGGGCTGCCCGCCGGAGCTGCTTCTCACAGCCGCGCGAAGGTAGTCAAGTGGAGGCAGCGTGGTTTCCACGGCAGCAGCCGCCGCTTTTAGCGTCTGCCCACTGAGACAAAAGAGCGTGACGAGCGGGGCTGTAGAGCCAATCAGCGGGGCGCGGGGGCGGGCTCCCCGCGTAGCCGCGGGGCGGACCCAAGAGGCATCAAGTGCAGCTGAGAATCACCCACTGGCCGATTTGCATTTTACTCGAGAGTTGGAGACTTTCCCCAACCCCCGCTTCCCTTCCTCTCCCTTTCTCCCTAGGCTTAAATCCGCGCTTTGAGTCTGGGTGCCTTAAACAAGAGGCGGGACCGTAATCAAGTGAACAGTAAAAAGTTCCTCACCTTTGCATAGGGGGAGTGTGGGGAGGAGAGTATTACGTCTTTTAATCTCAGCAGCCACGTGAAGGAAGTGGAAGTATGTTCATTTAACAGAGAGGGAATTTAAGCACCGAGGCTATTAATCAGTATTCACCAAAGTATGGGTGCAAGGCGGGCTGCATCAGAATCATTTTAGGGAGCTTGTTAGAAGTGCAGATACCTAGGCCCCACCTCTGGGGGATTCTGATTTACTAGGACTAGGGGTGAGGGCGTGATTTTGTATTTTTAACTAGCATTGTACAGTAAAACCTGCAAAAGACGGTACCTCTGTAAGGCAGAAACCTGTCAGAGAAGGAAAACTCAAATATTTTCCACTAATAGAGACCAATAGAAAAGTGGTAAGACTGCACCCTGTCAAAGGTGGAAAACTTGCGAGACCTGGAAAAACAAGGCAATCCCGTTGAGTTCTGGCTCTCACAAGTAGTTGATTCTGAGGTCTCTGGGTGGCACAAATGGTTTGCGCTGGACTTCTAACCTAAAGGTTGGCGGTTGAAACCCACCCAACGGGCACCGCAGAAGAACAGCCTGGCAATCTTCTTTTGTAAAGATTACAGCCGCGAAAACTCTGTGGAGCAGTTCTACTCTCTAACTCATGGGGTTGCCATGAGTTTGAATCGACTCCATAGCAATGGGTTTAGTTTTAATTTTGTAGTTGATTCTGAGGTGTAGAGCGATTTGTGAACCATTACTGTAAACACCGCATCATTCTGAGGGTAATAAGTAATGGCCTGCCACCGATATATCTGTCCACAGATATCTGTCTGTCCACAGCATATCCGTGGTGAAATACAACTCCAGAGGAACCTGGGTCCATGATCTTCCTGAAACTGTATGCAAGGATTTTGGACTCTGTGGTAGGCTGAATAATGGCCACCCAAAGATATCAGGTCCTAATCTCTGGAACCTGTAAATGTTATCTAATAAGGAAAAAGGGTCTGTGCAGATATGATTAAATTAATAATCTTGACATGTAAAGATTATCCTAGATTATCTGGGCAGGCCCTAAATCCAATCACAAGTATACTTATAACAGAGAGGCTGAGGGAGCTTTGATACTAACAGAAGATGAGAGAAGGTGATGTGAAGATGGAGGCAGAGATTGGAGTGATGCAAACACAAGCAAAGGAATGCTGACAGCCACCAGAAACTGGAAGAGGCAAGGAACGAATTCTCCCCTAGAGCCTCCAAAGGGAGCTGACACTTTGGTTTTGGCCCATTGAAACTGAAGTTGAACTTCTGGCCTCCAAAACTGTGAGAGAATAAATTTCTGCTGTTTTATTAAACCACCAAGTTTGTGGTTAATTTGTTACGGCAGCCACAGGAAACTAATACAGACTGTATATTTTTCTGAATCCATTGCTTTATAGATTTTTAAATGGGTCTGTGGCCCAGGATTGGTTGAGAACTACTCCTCTACAATTTTTCTTCATTAACATTTCCTCCTTTAACTTGTGCTTGAGGAAGAAGTGTGAGAAATAAAACACAATTTGACTCCTGAACCATAGCTCTCTGCCAATGATATAGTTCCATTTCCTGGCTGGAAGATAGGTTGCCCTTCTCCGTTGCTGGATTTAGCATCATTGGCCCCAGAGAAAGAGCAACCCCATGGAAACAACATGCAGGGCTGTCTGGAGTGAACAGGCTGTGGTGTCAGTGGCTCAAAAGGCTGATTCATTTCCTCTTCTGCTTTTGGTAAAGCATGTCTTCCTTCCCTTACGTAGAGTGTGACTAGGAGGTTCCCTATGGGACTTTTGGGGTTGAAGGGGTGATGGTGGCATGAAGTGTACGAGTGGACTGTCCAAGTGCAAAGGAGCCTACCGAGGTACTTCATCTGCTCCTTTCTGCCTTCTAATTTCCAATTCCAATACCTAGAATTCTTTGGAGTAAACGATCCAGATTTGGAGATGAAGCACCTTCCAGTCTGTGGCCTTTCTCTTGTGGATGAAACAGTGAGGCGGTAGTGGTGGAGGGTGGAGGATGTTGGAGGTAGAGAGAAGGCAGGTTGCTCACCTTACACAGTCAGGGTGTATACCAGGCAGTTGCTCTTGGATTTCCTTCAGACTCTTGCTTCTGCTCCCCAGCACCATGACATCTGATCCTGGTCTCTCAGGCATACTTTTCTTCTACGTTTAAATTGGCCCCATCACCAAATCAGGTGATCCACAGTTGGATTTGGTGACATCAAAAAAGACAAAGAACAGATCTCAGAGCTCTGACAAAAGTAGTGAAAGGAAATGGATTGTGTAAAGGTGCCTGGGTTGGGCCCTAAGAATAAAGCCAGGTCTCTTCACGCAGGGCTGTGAGTAGTGTTTGCTGAACTGGCTCGGATACAGCACATCCCTTATTTCTGGCCTCATGGGGAAAGGGAGCCTTCCAATTGCAAGGATTCAGGGCTCTGGTGGCTCTAAGGAGACCACATTTTCCTATTGCAACAAATAAACTTTAAAAACCTGAAGGTTAGGAGCTGAAACCTTCAGTTAAAACAATAATAGCTACCTTTGGCTTGCCTGCCCTCTCTGGGCAAGGAATTTTCCATCCCTTATCTCATTTAAGAGTCTCAGCAACACCGTCAAAACAGGCATTGTTATCCCACCAAAGCAGCTAAGGACATGCAGGAACTTTACTAGGGCTTTGGTCCATGGGAAGTCAAAGCCTGGAGAGGGATGCTTATGGGAGATTCTATCCATATTAAGCTGGCATCCCAAAGGGTGCATTGTTCACAAAAATATCATTCAACAGTAGGGTGATATAAAGATATTTTTAGACAGACAAAAACTGAGTTTGTCACCAACCAACCTGCACTAATGGAAATTCTAAAGGATGTACTTCAGGAGGAAAGTTATCTCTGAAGAACTAAGATGCAGAAAGGAATGAAGAGCAAGGAAGGTGGTAGTACATGGGCAGTGTTCAACGTAAATGAACATTTACGGAAGAGGGCATCATAACAACATCTATTCTGGTTTTTTAAAAATAAAGTACCTCACAATAGGAAAAGACGTCAGGAAGGGCATAAACGAAATTCAAGCTTTCTAAGGGCCTTGAATCATACTGTAAGTTTAGGTATTTATTAAATTTACACTTTGATAAGGTAATTATGGTGTAGTAATTATTAGGCTGTGACCATTAAAATAATATAACAAAATGTAAATTTCCAAACTAGTAGAGAGGGAAAAAGTTGAATAATAAAAAAACAATCTTTTATTTTTACTTCAACTTTTAAATTAAAAGCAGAGAAGAAACATAGGTGAGATGAAAAAAAGCACAAAATAAAATGATAGCTTTAAACCCAGATACATCGATAATTTTATTAAATGTTTATGAGCTAAATTCTCAAGTTAAAAAAGAAAACAAATATTGTCAAACGGGATTAATAAATACAATTACATGCTGTTTACATGAGACGAATTCAAAATATATGGATACTGAAAGGCTGAAAGTAAAAAGATGCAGAAAGATAAATCATGTAAATACTGTATAAGTGATAGAAAACTAGTATAGCTATATTCATATCAGACAAAACACACTTAAGAGCAAAAGGCCTTATTAGAGATATAGAGGGTCATTTCACAATGATAAAAGTTTCAACTAACGAGGAGTACAACAAATTTGACTATGTACATATAACAAAGCCTCAAAAATACATAAAGGAAAAATCCACATACTTAAAGGAGAAACAGACAAATATACAATCAGAGTGGGAATTCTTACCACACCTCTCTCAGTAGTTGATCAAAGAGACAATAAAAAATGTCAGTAAGGATACAGAATTCTTGAATATGCTTCATAACTTGAGCTAATAGACAATATATAGAACACTGCAACCAACAACTGTAGAATACACACACAGAACATTTACAAAACTTGACCATATACTAGCCCAGAAATCAAATCTCAATGCATTTCAAAGAACTGAAATCTGATCACAATGCAAAAAAGTTACAAATCAATGACAAAAACATAACTCGAAAATCCCTGTATGTTTTGAAATTAAGGTATACACTCTGAAATAACTGATGGATCAAATACAAATGATAGTGGAAATTAAAAATAATACTTTAGCTGAATAATAATGAAAATATTCATTTCAAAACTTGTGGAATGTAGCTGAAGTAGGGCTGAGAAGGAGAAAATATCTATTAGCAAAAATGAAAGGCCAAAAATTAATGAGTTAAGCATCCAACTCAAGAAGAAAGCAAACAACAAGCTAAACCCAAGAAAATTAGGAAAAAAATGAAATAATAAAGATAAGAACAGAAAATAATGAAATAGAAATGAAAATAACAGGACAAGAATGTCCTCTCTCGCCACTTCAAGAAAAAAAAATGGCATCCAGATTGGAAAGAAAGAAGTAAAACAATTTCTATTTGCAGATGACATGATTTTGTATATAGAAAATGACAAGACCACCAAAAAATTATTAGAACTAATAAATGAGTTCAGTCAGATTGCAGGATACAAGTTCAATATACAAAAATCAATTGTTTTTCTATACACTAGCAATAAACAATTGAAAAATGGAATTAAGAAAACAATTGCATTTACTATAGCATCACAAAGAATAAAATACTTAAGAATAAATTTAACAAAAGAAATGCATGACTCCTAAACTAAGAACTACAAAATATTATTGA